GTAAAGCCTACTGAAATATGTGTCTGTGTGTGTTTATATTAATAAATAGATATATATATATACGAATAAATTATATACGATCATAGATAATTTTATATACAACATATGTGTTGTATATATCTATGATACGATCGATTTGCATGACTGGACGATGCTGACCCCTCGTGGCAAAAGCCGGCATCATAGGCCTCCCCCACTTACATATACTTTACAGTTACTGCGAGAGCTCAACTGCGCCTAATATCATTAATATAAGGACGTGTGATATCATTCCTGTGTCATTGAGTTACACACGTATCGCGCACTTTATGTAATTTGTACCAGAACGTTAAATTATTTGTAGCAGTTTGTTATTGTAATCGGCTCCCTACATTTTTGTACTAACGTGTTTTAGAAAACTTACTTAACGCGTGGTAACGTATGCGAGCTAGACAGTCTGCAGCCGGATATACGCGCGAAGCGCGAACAGCGCCACCTGTGGCGCCATTTGAGATAACTCGCTGCTCTATATTTAGAACCATTTCACCGGTTATATCAAATGTGCCTGTAATCGGTCAATTGAGCAGTTCTGGGTGATTGCAGAAGCCTTTCGACTGTGCACGTAGGGCGAGAATAAATCCAATGGTCGTTATTGCTACTTGTTTTCGTTGGCGCGTTAGGTTTTCTTCTAGAAAAGCGATTTCGAATTTATTTAATTCCACGCCCTGAACTTATTCTCGTAGATATCGCGGCCCATAGATGGCGTGACGAGGCTCTCTTCGAGGGATTTTGCAAAGAATTTTCTTTAGACTGCCCCGCGGTGCAGAGTTTGACACGCTGCACTAACTTTAGTGTAGCGAAAGAGACTTGCCCGAATGAACGTCCGTACCAGTCTTTTGAGCACGGCAGACCTGACTGATTTATGGTTGTTTACACTGATGTATAGACTGCCCCGCGGTGCAGAGTTTGACACGCTCCACTAACTTTAGTGTAGCGAAAGAGACTTGCCCGAATGAACGTCCGTACAGTCTTTTGAGCACGGCAGACCTGACTGATTTATGGTTGTTTACACTGATGTATGTCTGAGCGTCTGTTATTACCCCCGATGCTGTGATGTTTCGCATCATGACGTCAGACTTCAAGCATGTATATAATATAGCAGAGCAGTAGGCGTACGGCAGGCAGGTAGGTCCTGGTAGTTACTAGTACTAGTACTAGTAGTGCTGGTAACTTAGTAGTACTACTACTACTAGTACTAGTAGTAGTACTTAGTAGTAATTATTGTAACATGTACTTGTAGTAATACAAGTATTCGTAGCCGTAGGTGTGGAATGTAATACCAGTGTCTCTCTGGATGTTGCTGCCAGTGGCTGGTACGATGGAATATATGCAAAAACGGCAAACCACATACCGCACCGGCACCGGTTGGTGAAGTACATGTTACAATAATTACTACTAAGTACTACTAAGTAATTAACTTACTAATAATGACGAACCCTAACCATAACCCTAACCTATTATATTGATATAATATTATATTATATTGATGTAAATGACATTGGTTTTATTGCCCATGCCATACATTGGGGCCCATATAATATTGGGAGCCATGTTCTCTATCCTTGAACCACTAGTACTACTAGACTACTACGACTAGCAAGAAACGCTCTTTGCTAGGGTTAGATACCCCTAGGCTATACTAGACACAGGCACTTGAAGCGTTTCAATAAAATATAATGCTAACTAAATACGAAATATATTTACTACGAAATTGTTAATGTTTCTAGTATAGGCGGCTAATAGGCCTACTCTCTTTCAAGAAGGTTGCGAGGTGCAAAGGCTATATATAGACTACGACTCGCTCTCACCTCGATTAGCCATTGAGTGACTAAGCTAAGCCGAGAGGTGCGAGAGTGGCAGTCTATGGGCTATAGGCGGCGCAGGCGGCGCACTGCTTTCGAACTGCCGTACGAGCCTCGCCATTGAACGTTGCAAAAAACGTTGCAGCGTTGGGGCGCGAAGAGCGGCCGGTAGGTGTTTCTGATTCTGACAGCCGTTTCCATTACTGGGCAAGGTTTGCGAATGTCAGAATTTCGACAGTCTTTCTGTCATTTCGCGTGACCACGCTCGTTACGAACAGATTACTCGGTTACAGTTTTTTATAACAAGTGAACACTGTTTCACGTCCCAAATTTCTACCCTTTGTGTCCCCACTAAAATTGCGGACTCTTCGCTGGCAGCTATGGATCCGTGCGCCCGCCAATTTATTACGCGCACGGATCCATAGCTGCCAGCGCTGCATACTGTCGTAGGACGTTCCCGCGGTCGCGTGCGCCTTGCCGGCGGAACTGCGCGAAAGATCTGCGCTTCAGCGCTTCGGATGAAATCTCCTTTCGGCAACGCTTCCTCTAGTATCCCGTCTCATCTGTTTTACCTGGCTGTACGTGTGGTGGTTTGGCGCAATATCCCTTCTGGTAAGAAAAGTAACACCTTGATGTTTCATAAGACGTATTGTGAGGGCTTTGACGGGTGATATAATTCTTTGTGTCATTGAGTTACACACTTACCGCGAACTCTGGGATTAGGTAAAGCCTACTGAAATATGCATTTGTGTGTGTTTATATGAATAAATATATATAAATTNGGTTACGAAACAGAGTCTACTCGGTTACAGTTTTTTATAACAATGTAACACTGGTTCACGTCCCGAAATGTCTACCCTCCTGTTCCTGCGCACTAAAATCACGTGCGGACTCCTTGCCGGCAGCTATGCATATCCGGCGCGCCCGGCCAATTACATTACGCGCAGCGAGCACCTCCATAGCGTGCCACGCCTGCATACTGTCGATAGACCATTCCCGCGGCTCGCCGGTTCCGCCTTGCCGCGGGAACTGCGCGAAAGATCTGCGCGTCAGCCCTGTCGTCGATGAAGATCTCCTTTCGCAACGCTTCTCTAGTATTCTCCGCTCTCATCTGGATACAGTTTACATTGCTTCTATCTAACTGAATTAAAATAGTCCACTTTCTACGTAAAGAAAAGTGACGAATTCAGTTAACGGCTTTGATTACGTGCGTGTCAGGTATCACTGGTCGTGCCCTCACTCCCCACGATAACCCCTGCGACATATGAACTTATTGTTATGCGGTCATAAAAACACTGGGGTCATGCCGCAATCAATTTCTTAGACTGTCACGAGGTTTGTTGGTGTGGCGAATCATGCATTGAGGGAGTTCATGCTCTCGGCTCTAGATGTTTTGGATGGGCTATCTACGCTCAGGAACGGAGCGTATTCGAATTCGCTCCCGTTTACAAGTCTCTCTAAACAGCTGTTGCGATAACTAATAACTGATAAACCGATAACGGATAGACTGATAACTGATAACTGATAACTGATAACTGATAGACTGATAACTGATAGACTGATAACTGATAAACCGTAGTATTTCAGCGTAATATGAGGGGAAAAGTGCCGGTCAGGAGGACCGGCAGTTTCGTAGAGATGGTGGCCGAAGCAAAAACTTGGTGGCCTCGGGCCTCCGGGTCGGCACTAATTTCGAAAGCTGCGTAGGAGATGTAAATTTTATAGTACACTAGTTATAGATCTAATCTTTGTTCAATGTATAGTAGGTATGTTAATAAATTGAGAATCGTCTGCCACGTGCCATTAGAAATATTATTGATGGTGCAGTATGGTATCTCACCGCATGTCTACCATTTTCTGCAGGAACACCGACATTTTCCCAATTGTGAATTACGCCACACAGTTGCGTAGCATGCATCAGGCGGAGCGACACGCTGTCCTCATGCCGATCAACAATGCTCACAAAAGCATTATGGTTCGAGCTGTGATAGTAAAGCAGTTGGAGATGAGGTAGATATCGTTGTTAATCATCTACATCTGCTAACAAGTAAAGTGGTAATAATTGCTATTTGTCTCCATGGCTGTCTAACAGCTGTCTTATGCACCACCCTGACAGGTTCAGTCTTTTGCATTTTGTTTAAAATCATCATAATCAGTAATAAATGAAATGTTTGCCAGTAAAAATACTGAAGTTTTGGTAGCAACTGCAGGGTTACAAACAGCAGTTACAATTAAGAACTTGAAGACTAATAATTAAGACTAGGAAGGTTTCTTGCGTTAGATTTCTTTTATTAGCTATTTGTCGACTGAAGTCGATGTTCTTTAATTTTCAGTGAATGCGCGCAAGTCCTTGTTTCGCAAAAGAACACGATACACATTCCAGTAGGAACCATCGGCCTGGGTGATTATGGCCTGTGGTTTAGTGTGGCACGAATAGTTCAGGTAAGAATACACAAAGACTTGTTAACAGCTTTTCTGCAGTTTGTTGTCGAGAGCAGGCTTTGCAGTCTTGCTTGCCTAGAAACAAGGAATATTTGCAACATGACACCTGTGTGTGTCACGTGTCACACATAATATGGTCATATATGTTTACGTATGTCACATCATTAGAAAGTAAAAGATCCTAATTTCATATGATCATAAGAAAGGTCATGGTAAGAGTGGGATTATCTGATTAGTTCTTGCATGTCATAGATGAGTTCCCCTCGCATTAGTGTTTGAAAAACATATCCGTAAATGTGCAAGCCAATGAATATTAAATACACAGCAGTAGCTGCAGCAGCAGCACCAGCAGTAGCAGCACTAGCAGCCACAGCAGCAACAGCAGCAGCATTCATGGAACATTGCTACGATAATGTTTTTGAGCAAAATGTTCGGCAATGTGCGCCGGGCTTTAGTGAATTATTCTAGTGATAGTTGGCCAACAATGCATTGCTATCCAGCACATTACAACAGAACGTTGCAAGCAATCGATAGTTCGGTCCATCTTTAAACTCTTTCTTTCATCATATAACCAAACAACAGATATAATTAGTAGTGAATAAAAACAAAACATTTGTTTTTATTCACTTTTAATATAATTTATTGAATATATATTATAACATATCCTCTTGTATCTCGGGATACAAAGAGGTTTTATATAAACTGAATTAACCATGCATGTATTGTAATAAATTATCATCTATCTTTAATATTTCAGGTGGACATTTTTCTCCAGTCGTACAGAAGACTGTGTGCTATATTGCGTGTGGTTTAATCATCAATGAGGTTGGACAAGTGCTAATGATACAGGAAGCTCGGAGACTAAGCCGTGGTAAATGGTACCTTCCTGCTGGCAGGATGGAGCCTGGCGAAAATATAGAGGTATATAAATGTCATATAATGGCCAAAAATGTCCTCACTAAATGTAAATCATAAAAATATAGTTTTAACCCAAGTTGTTCCTGGCGTGCTACTGGGAATATCACAGTATGTATTTAATTCCTGGCTATCATAATAATCATTTATCCTCATTTAACTTTCATCCTGGGTGATACTCCATTAGGAGTGTTTCCAACTTTAATGTCATTAATGCATGGTCATAATAACTTATATATGGTCATGGTCATATATTAGTTTGTGGTTATTGTCATTTAGGTTAGGGTTAGGGTTAGGGTTAGGATTATCAATCATTAATCATTAATCATTAATCATTAATCATTAATCATTAATCATTAATCATTAATCATTAATCATTAATCATTAATCATTAATCATTAATGATATCAAAGTTGGGAACACTCCTAATGGAGCGTTAGCCTTTATCCTTGTAGTTGTATGTACTTATTACCATATTTACTAACACTGGGTAACTTGATGGTTTGTGTTATGTTACTTTAGGTCAATGTGACTGATCATCTCTGCAGACAGATGTATAATAATGACAAATCTGTCTGTTATGTAGGTGCATATTCATGATTTCCATGTATATGAAATTAGGCTTGGAATCAGAAGAAAATCTGGTGATTCCAAATTTTGTACATGTATCAGTTTTCCACATATACACTTGTAGTTCATGTGCTGCTCTCTCAGCATTCAACTACAATCACTAACACATACTAAGCTTATAATTAGTATCTCTACTGTGGCTTTCAAACTGTGGAAGAGTGATGTTTGTTTTCACCATTTTACTTCCTAACTTAGGTGAAATAACCACAGAAGACATCATTTATTGCTTATCATGTATAGGTAGTGTCTTATCACTGTTTGTGTGGCCATATATCATGACACCGTGTGTCATGAATCGGCTGTGCTTTGCTACATGCTGTGCTGCTACATGTATCTTAGCCTCTAGACTGCAAGTATTGCCATGAACCTGGTTATCATACTTCGTAAGCAGTCCAACACATAGTATGTCTGTATATGGGCCAAGATTGATTTGATTCATGAGTTCTGTTTAGAGCCATCAAGTCTGCCCTGTATGAGCTTTTTGCTGAGACAGAAAGTGTTTAGCTTTGCCACCTTGGCACATCGTTCTCCACAGATCTTGGGACCTGGTCGACCTTTCAGCGTTGTTGAGACAACAGATGATGGCACCCCCTTTTCCTGAACACAAACAGTTCCACACTGATTTCGTATTCCGCTGTTTGGTGTTCGAGCATGCAATGTGGCCTGCAATGTGCCTCCTCGAAGGTTCCAACTAGCCTACCGTCAGCTACGCCCGTATTCATTCAGTCACACGACTGCTTGCTTGGTCATGTAGGCATATGTACATGCTGCCGCGAACCAGAACAGAGGATGTATCATTTTACATTTCCTAAGTGTAAATTGACAGATTGAGAGAATTGTTTAGGTGAGTAAGTCTGTATCTGATGTTTGATGATGCGTAATACTAGGGAATAGATACATACAAGAATGGGTTCATGAGTAAATGAGTTTTATATAAAATTATTATATTTGAAAAGTGCTCCTCACCAAAAATGTTACAGCAAGCTACCAAACATGATTTTTATATGCTGTTTAGCTTTCTTTCTTTGATACTTTTTATATTTGTTATATTTGGTATGTCATTGGTATGACCACTCTCAGAACCCTTTACTAAATAATGTATCATTTGAATAGTAAGAGAAAAAAATATAAATAAAATCCAAACAAAACCTAAACATTACACATTATTTGTGTGTTATTGTGTCCCCATAGAAATGGCCAATCGCAAACCTTGTTGTTATGGTGAGTATCGATGTTAATGGATCCATAATTATTTGCTTGCAGGATGCAGTTAGGAGAGAAGTGCTGGAAGAGGCTGGTTATGAGTGCCAGGTCACTTCAGTGCTTATGGTGGAGGTTGATGGACGGGCACTATGGCTGAGATTTACTTGCTTGGCCAGAGTCACAGGTAAACTAGGCCAGTGTAATAAACACCCACAGCAAATGTTACAGAGTATAAAGCTGCTAACTTGATGCTTAATGTGTCTAGGAAGTATTTGCAATGGGATTGGATTCCCTGCAGTATGTCAGGCTTAATGGACAGAGGCAAGTATACACTGGTCCTATGTGGTTATAGATCTCTTAGATAGTAAGAGATTTTTTGGAGCCACGTCGACCTAAATGTGCTAGGCACATATATACCCTTTTTGTCTTGTATGAGTTATCACTTTTTATTTCATTAATACGTGTGCCATTGCCCTCACGAGACTATGCCAGTATTATTTGGATCTTACTAGGTGGCAACCGAAAGACAGAAGAGGATGAAAATAATGAATCGATGCAAGCGAGATGGTTCACTTTGGATGAGATAGCCAAGTTGGAATTGAGGTAGTACTGGTATATTACAGTAGTGCTAAATTGCACACACATAAGAGCAGGGTTCAAATTTTGGCTGAAAATCTAGTGGACAGCAGGACCACCAACTTCAGAAAGTTGGTGGTCCTGCACAAAAGTATGGTGGTCCGCTTATTTACTAGCAGTGAGTAACAAAATAGTATACAAAAATAACCATTGGCATTAACAGCATACATGTAACTTAGAGTTGGTCAAATAATATATATCAAGCTCTAGGAATGCCGGGGGAGCTTGTGGGAAAGGTTTTACTTTCGTTTTTCTCCTCCCCATTCCACGGTACCCCCATGCATAGATCAATGCTGCCGCATATCCGCAAAGTTACAAGTGCCTATAGAATCTTGACAGTCTGCAGCCCGGATCCGCGCGAAGCGCGCTTCGCGCCACCTGTTGGCGCCTTTTGAACGAATACGCTGCTCTGCCAATATCACTTTTACGGTTATGTAAAATGGGGCTGTAATCGGTGAATTGAGGAGTTCTGCTGATTGCAGAAGCCTTTCGACTGTGCACGTAGGGCGAGAATAAATCCAATGGTCGTTATTGCTACTTGTTTTGGTTGGCGCGTTAGGTTTTATTCTAGAAAAGCGATTTCGAATTTATTTAATTCCACGCCCTGAACTTATTCTCGTAGATATCGCGCCGCCATAGATGGCGTGACGAGGCTCTCTTCGAGGGATTTTGCAAAGAATTTTCTTTAGACTCCCCGCGGTGCAGAGTTTGACACGCTCCACTAACTTTAGTGTAGCGAAAGAGACTTGCCCGAATGAACGTCCGTACCAGTCTTTTGAGCACGGCAGACCTGACTGATTTATGGTTGTTTACACTGATGTATGTCTGAGCGTCTGTTATTACCCCCCATGCTGTGATGTTTCGCATCATGACGTCAGACTTGAAGCATGTATATATATAGCAGAGCAGTAGGCGTACGGCAGGCAGGTAGGTCCTGGTAGTTACTAGTACTAGTACTAGTAGTGCTGGTAACTTAATTAGTAGTACTACTACTACTAGTACTAGTAGTAGTACTTAGTAGTAATTATTGTAACATGTACTTGTAGTAATACAAGTATTCGTAGCCGTAGGTGTGGAATGTAATACCAGTGTCTCTCTGGATGTTGCTGCAGTGGCTGGTACGATGGAATATATGCAAAAACGGCAAACCACATACCGCACCGGCACCGGTTGGTGAAGTACATGTTACAATAATTACTACTAAGTACTACTAAGTAATTAACTTACTAATAATGACGAACCCTAACCAACTACCTAACCTATTATATTGATATAATATTATATTTATATTGATGTAAATGACATTGGTTTTATTGCCCATGCCATACATTGGGCCCATATAATATTGGGAGCCATGTTCTCTATCCTTGAAGCACTAGTACTACTAGACTACTACGACTAGCAAGAAACGCTCTTTGCTAGGGTTAGAATACCCTAGGCTATACTAGACACAGGCACTTGAAGCGTTTCAATAAAATATAATGCTAACTAAATACGAAATATATTTACTACGAAATTGTTAATGTTTCTAGTATAGGCCTACTCTCTTTCAAGAAGGTTGCGAGGTGCAAAGGCTATATATAGACTACGACTCGCTCCCACCTCGATTAGCCATTGAGTGACTAAGCTAAGCCGAGAGGTGCGAGAGAGTGGCAGTCTATGGGCTATAGGCGGCGGGCAGGCGGCGCACTGCTTTCGAACTGCCGTACGAGCCTCGCCATTGGAACGTTGCAAAAACGTTGCAGCGTTGGGGCGCGAAGAGCGCCGGTAGGTGTTTCCTCATTCTGACAGCCGTTTCCATTACTGGCAAGGTTCGCGAATGTCAGAATTTCGACAGTCTTTCTGTGATTTCGCGTGACACAGCTCGGTTACGAACAGATTACTCGGTTACAGTTTTTATAACAAGTGAACACTGTTCACGTCCCAAATGTCTACCCTCTGTGTCCCCCACTAAAATTGCGACTCTTCGCTGCAGCTATGGATCCGTGCGCCGCCAATTCATTACGCGCACGATCCATAGCTGCCAGCGCTGCATACTGTCGTAGGACGTTCCCGGCGGTCGCGTGCGCCTTGCCGCGGAATGCGCGAAAGATCTGCGCTTCAGCGCTTCGGATGAAATCTCCTTTCGGCAACGCTTCTCTAGTATCCCGTCTCATCTGGATACAGTTTACATTGCTTCTATCTAACTGAATTAAAATAGTCCACTTTCTACGTAAAGAAAAGTGACGAATTCAGTTAACGGCTTTGATTACGTGCGTGTCAGGTATCACTGGTCGTGCCCTCACTCCCCACGATAACCCCTGCGACATATGAACTTATTGTTATGCGGTCATATAAAACACTGGGTCATGCCGCAATCAATTTCTTAGATTGTCACGAGGTTTGTTGGTGTGGCGAATATGCATTGAGGAGTTCATGCTCTCGCTCTAGATGTTTTGGATGGGCTATCTACGCTCAGGAACGGAGCGTATTCGAATTCGCTCCCGTTTACAAGTCTTTCTAAACAGCTGTTGCGATAACTAATAACTGATAAACCGATAACGGATAGACTGATAACTAGACTGATAACTGATAACTGATAACTGATAGACTGATAACTGATAGACTGAATAACTGATAAACCGTAGTTATTTCAGCGTAATATGAGGGAAAAGTGCCGGTCAGGAGGACCGGCAGTTTCGTAGAGATGGTGGCCGAAGCAAAAACTTGGTGGCCTCGGGCCTCCGGGTCGGCACTAATTTCGAAAGCTGCGTAGGAGATGTAAATTTTATAGTACACTAGTTATAGATCTAATCTTTGTTCAATGTTATAGAGGGTATGTTAATAAATTGAGAATCGTCTGCCACGTGCCATTAGAAATATTATTGATGGTGCAGTATGGTATCTCACCGCATGTCTACCATTTTCTGCAGGAACACCGACATTTCCCATTGTGAATTACGCCACACAGTTGCGTAGCATGCATCAGGCGAGCGAACGCGCTGTCCTCATGCCGATCAACAATGCTCACAAAAGCATTATGGTTCGGCTGTGATAGTGAAGCAGTTGAGATGAGGTAGAATCGTTGTTAATCATCTACATCTGCTAACATGTAAGTGGTAATATTGCTATTTGTCTCCATGGCTGTCTAACAGCTGTCTTATGCACCACCCTGACAGTTTCAGTCTTTTGCCTTTTTGTTTAAAATCATCATAAATCAGTAATAAATGAAATGTTTGCCAGTAAAAATCATGAAGTTTTGGTAGCAACTGCAGGTTACAAACAGCAGTTACAATTAAGAACTTGAAGACTAATAATTAAGACTAGGAAGGTTTCTTGCGTTAGATTTCTTTTATTAGCTATTTGTCGACTGAAGTCGATGTTCTTTATTTTCAGTGATGCGCGCAAGTCCTTGTTTCGCAAAAGAACACGATACACATTCCAGTAGGAACCATCGGCCTGGGTGATTATGGCCTGTGGTTTAGTGTGGCACGAATAGTTCAGGTAAGATACACAAAGACTTGTTAACAGCTTTTCTGCAGTTTGTTGTCGAGAGCAGGCTTTGCAGTCTTGCTTGCCTAGAAACAAGGAATATTTGCAACATGACACCTGTGTGTGTCACGTGTCACACATAATATGTGTCATATATGTTTACGTATGTCACATCATTAGAAAGTAAAAGATCCTAATTTCATATGATCATAAGAAAGGTCATGGTAAGAGTGGGATTATCTGATTAGTTCTTGCATGTCATAGATGAGTTCCCTCGCATTAGTGTTTGAAAAACATATCCGTAAATGTGCAAGCCAATGAATATTAAATACACAGCAGTAGCTGCAGCAGCAAGCACCAGCATAGCAGGGCACTAGCAGCCCACAGCAGCAACAGCAGCAGCACTAGCAGCACGGCAGTACAGCAGCATCTAGCAGCAACAGCAGCAGCACTAGCAGCAGCAGTAGCAGCACTAGCAGCCACAGCAGCAACAGCAGCAGCACTAGCAGCAGCAGCACCAGTAGCAGCACTATAGCAGCCACTGCAGAAGCAAAACTGATGATGACAGCAGTCGCTAACTGCGCGAGACGCACACCGCAGCCATACGTTCACGACCCGATTTGCAGGCGGCGCTCGGCTCCAACTACCAGGGCAGGCTGACGGTGCACGGCGTGCTCGCGCTGGAGCACTGTGGCGCGCCGGCGCACGCCCACGACGGCGTCTGCATCTCGTGCCTCGCATCGATCGCTCCCTACGAGGACGTCAGCGAGTGTCGGCAGCCGCTGCACGACCTCACGTCCGCTCAGCTGATGGCCGACTCAACGGACGCGCTCGCCGCGACCAACCCCGAGTACACGTGGGTGAAGTTGAAAGACGGCGCGCTGTCGGGTGAGCTGGTGCGCCGCCTCGCCAAGCACATGACCGTGCCGACCAATCGGCGCGTCGAGTTTGAGGTCGCGACCGTTCCGCCGCAGCCGGTCCCCGAGCTTCAGAATCTCGGTGTCGACTTTGCCGATATACACGATCGAGTCTCGAAGCTGTGGCGTGCGGTCGCGCCTCAGATTCCGTTCGCTGATGGTTGTTCGCTTAGCGTTCCCTGAAGTGAAGGAGAATTTCTGGGTGGTCCGGTGAAACTTCTGTGCTGGTGTGCAAAATCTCATCAACGTTAATTTATTCTGCATTGTCGTCTATAAGACTGTATTGTTTAATGTAATCTTGTCTATACAATTAATGTCAGAACGCATGTCTTCATGGTAGAAAATCGCCACTGTACCAGGATTATGATGGATTGTACAGTATATTGAAGCCCAAAGAACATATGACTACTTACCTGTAATGGATTTATGGTATTAGCTCTCACATTTTATCAGTGCATATTATAGTTTTCTGTAAAATATGTGGAATATTGCAAATATTTTAGTTTATCTTATACATAATTAGTCATCGCAGTAGGTAGTGAGAATGCATTCAACTAATATTGTAACAGTGAAAGATTCGTTTCTTTACGATTATGATCAAAACTCTCGTCAGAATCTATGTTAAACTATATAGGCTTTTAAAATTAGGTTTATGTATAATGTAAATGCCGATGATATCAATGTTCATTCCATTTAAAACGTCATTCAATCTTGTCCTCCACACCAAAAACGTACTTCGGCAGAATAAATATATTTTAATTATGTGATAAAGCTCGATTTGGACTGTCTTGAAGATTTATATATGAATATGTAGAGAATGTGCTGGAAAATGTATAACATGAAAGCCTAATAAACAATCCCGCACAGTCAATTTGTCTTTTTATCTATTCCATGCTGCACATTCACAAAATGTAGATAACAAATATATCTATATAACAAATCTTATGTTCGAAATACATATTCCATGATGAAACTTATGTTATGGTGCATGCTGTTACTCAACTGATTTAAATAATCGATTGCCACAGACTGCTATGGTGTCATAATTGCTAACAGGCCAAATCACGTCAAGTATATGATCATAAGTACATTTATTTTGATTGGTTTATATATTTTAGATTCAAGTAAAAGTCAATAATTACAGAAAATAAATGGTAGCTAAAATAGAATTTGTTAGTTCTTAAACAATATGCTGAAGTTTAGTCTTGCACGTTGGTACATGAGAAAATGTGATAAGCTCACATATTCTAATTTGAAAGTGGTTACACCTTTAACATCAACACAATGCCATATAACTGCTACATACACTACATAACTATAAATGACAGAAAAACATAATAACATTGCTGGTCTGATCATTAACCACAATTTTTTTTGGTATATTCATCTACTCACCGCAATTCGTTTATAGTGCAATCTCACGACGGCTTTGAAGAATGCCAACTAACAATACAGCAAAATTTTTACATCTACATATGATTAATATTGAGAAAAGAAATTGACACACCAGAGATTCATGACTAATTCGTGTTTTGTTATGCTACTCATTAAAAATATATAACATCGAGAAACAATTACTCGAACCTATTCTAAATCTAATTCTGGATTAAAAAAAGAAAAAAGAAGGACAAGTGATATTTTATGGAAAACACGACAGTGGTAAAATGGCAAGATTCTTGCATTTTGGCTCATAAACGTCAATGACTGCAAATAATCTCATGGTTTTGCACCAGTACATGTATAATATAATGTTGAGGCCATAAATAAGCACTGGATTAGGAATCTGAAGAGTTGGAACCTATGTTGTATTAGTAGTGCTCAAATTATTGTTAAACAACTAGTATACACAACATTTATTGCACGCACTTTCCCTTTCATTATGCTACTGAGCCTAAGTGATATGGATAAAAAAGCATGTTATCTTACACAATTTCTACAAATGTTTTAAAAGTATGCACGTACATCAAATGAAATCAGTTTAAATACGTAACCATATATTACAGTTTCATTTTTAAATATATAGTCAAGCTAATAACAACATCAGTGAATGTCAAAGGATAAAAATTGTCTTTCAATTTATACATGAAACACAGACTTTCATGTAACACCACTATGTCCAATACTGACTGAATTTGTTACCCTGTGTTTATGTACTTATGTTCAAGCAAGATCTAAACATGATATATGCAGTTTATAACAAATATTTTGCCACATGGCCTATTCCCTAATACTAATAGATGAATAAATACATTAAATATTTCTTCACGCTTCTGCTTCCTGACTCCAAAATATTCAGCCACAGAAAAACGACGGAAGGCATTTATTGTTCTGTGGCACAGCTAAAAGTATATATAGGTAACACCTAGTCTAAACTCATGGTTTAGGTAATTAGATACATAAATGTGTCTATGACAGTTCATTAATATACATGCTCACTTAAATTTATCAGTAAACGTCACTTTCATGATACCCTGCTGTTTCTTTATTAAATGACCCTTTCTTATAACATATATCCTGTAGCTGAAGCATAGACAACAAGTCCTTTCCTTCACGAGATGTGACTAACAATTAGCACCAGCTATGGCAAACTTGCAAAACTACCGATTGCCAAAAAAGCATGAGGGTCAGTAATTGGATTATGGTAACAGCTACTTTCACTGGAACAATGTTTACACTGAACCAGAAGAATGTTAACAAAACAAATACGTGTTACCTATCAAATTTCAGTATAGTCTGAATTTCTGGAAACTTGCTCATTATACACATGCTATAAAGACTGAGTAATGGCGTGAAAGTGAATATTACCTCACACAACACAAATCTATTTGTGTACAAAATAAATCTATTTTGGACACAAATTACAGCACTATGAATTTGATAAAGGATATAACTGAGATTTCTATGTGGACCACTGCATAAATTCACCATTTGGGAAGGTGTTACTGTGCTCCAGATGACTGAAACATCGTTGCGTGATGCTTAACGAAAGCTACAGCTGCCAGCTCCTTGCAAAATTCCTCCAGCACAATAACTCCCTCCATAAGGTTGCTGCGCTCACAGCTGCAAGACACGAACACACTGTTAAAACCAGCAAGGAATCACACAGGCAGTTTAGCACCTCTCTTGACATGCCATAATGCAGAATGAACATAAACATACTAAAACGAAATCTACTGCTTCAATAGAGATGGATCAATGACCTTAACCTACCTATCGCTTTCTGGCACCAGCCCCATTAGTTGACGACGTGTGTGGGCCACTCCTTGTTTGAACTCTGGCACTCTATGCATACGAACTTCCAAATCTTTCACCACCTACATTAACATCACAAAAACATCACTGTGAAATCTGTCTATTGAATTCTAATTAGCTAATTCTGCTAATTAATTAAAAAAGAAAAACAATAAAGTGATGAAATATAATGCAATTATTGCCTGAATTAGGACGTGTATTAATTAATATGCATACAAAGCAGAACAGGAAGTTCTTTTGTGAGACATCTCTACCTTTGATAGTATGCTATACAGCGTTCGTCCTCCAGGTGGCGTCACTTCACTTGTACACAATAGAAGTTCATGTATCACAGGATGGGGGAAAAGCACTAGCTTTGCAAGCACCGAGGTCACTTGCAGATTTAGCTCGTAGCTCTTGAAAAGCACACATCATAGAAAAAAATCTCAGACATGAAATCACATACGTCATATCTCACAATAAAATCCAATGCATAAAACACCCCACCTGTGCAATGCATACAATCATATTCAGATTTGTCACAGTCAAATGTGACTTTATAGTTTAGCTGCCAAAGAAAGAAATAACAGGAGACCTATTTCAGTGCAGAGTATTTTACTCTTACTTTACCTGGTCAAGAATTTTAGATAGCTTGTCAAACAACATGTCCAGTAGACTGTCTGCACCATAGATCACATGTCGATCGGCATGGCTCTCGATACATTTCCACATTCTACACTGTATGCAAACAGCCTTGTACTGTAACAGAGATTGAACTTCACATGATTACCATATATGTATATATACGAACCTGGTAATCTTACACGTGCATCAGAAGTAAAGTTGGTCTCGTAAAGCTCAAAATAGAACAGCTGAATAAACTTCAACATGTTCAAGGATCAGGATGGCTTCTTTTATACAATTCATAGCTTATTTTTAAAGAAATAAAAAGATTTATCTCTACAACATTTAGCCCAAAGAGCAGAGGTTTGCATATGGATGATAATGGCAATAATAATACCAGGAGCTAATAATGACAATTTGTCATTATTAGCTCCTGATAATACTGTAATATCAGGAGTCTATCAATTGATAGACTCCTGGTAATAATTCTTTACTTATTATTATTATTTAATAAAGGAATTAGGAAATAGCAGTGAACAATAAAAACATGATATGAGGGTATTGTTCAGGTGCCATAATTGAGGAGGGACATACGGCTTGCTCCTAACACATTTTAGAAATTGAAATAGGCATAAGCTGATACAAGGTTGAAATCTCCACACTTGCATCACACATAACAAGCATATCACACCACTCCTGAACCTGACTCCTACTCATGAATCCTCCACCAATCCCACACCAACCTCTAACCCATATTGCACGACATTTATGCAGCCACCAGTGCTGATACCTGTCTGTGGGCATCTTTGAGGTACGTATCGTAGCCGCTGTCCTCGAGCTCTTCACAGGACGAGGCTTCGTGAGGCACGAAGGTAAGAAACGTGTGTACGACGTGGTGGATATCCACGCTGGGCTTGTGACCCTCTCCCTCAGCCACTGTAGCGGAAAATTACCAACAGAAATCAATAGTGCTGGTTTCCTACTTTATGGCTGCCCTATTAACAACGTAAAAATACTAATCACAACCACCGTCGTTATCCCATTCAGCCCAGCAGCGAAATCGTGTTCCTGCCCATCCTTATACAATTGATAAGGATTTACATGAAATAAGCCATCTTTAAAGTGATTACGTCACCGTAAATAGTAAAAATAAAAAAAATATTTCCACTTTTTCACAAAATATAAGTAATTCTGTTCACTTTTTATGGTTAAATTTCTGCATTATACTTCTCATTTTACTATATTGTTCGATGTGAACATACACTCGTGACTCATACATAGCCCATAGCAATCAATTAATGTCAGGAACATAATATCAAATCGTCCAGGTTTTTGGATTTTTAACTAGTTGAGAAACAATCTTATCAGGTAAGAATTTGAGGATACGTTAGTTCTTACTTTTAATGTAAAAAAATAGCAACAAACATTTTACAAATTTTACCATAGAAAATTTGTCACGTAATCAATTTAATGAGGCATTAACAGCAGTGTAAAGATTGCAGCAGGAATGATGTCTAAAAACAACATCTCACATTATTTATCACCTGCTGTGCACGCGTGGGAGATATAGTGATATGCTCCGTCCACCGTTGTCATCCCCACTGGTACTGGCTGCCCCACGAAGCAGTAATGGCGAGTGAAGCATTGGTGGCAGACAGACTCTGCCTTTACATACACCGCTGGTATATGGTGGTGGATGATAACTAGATAGTAAGATTTAAGCTCCCTACAGTTATAGATATAATATGTACCTGCAGCAGTGATAGGTGTCTCTGCATGGTCAGCCTGTCCGGGAGCACCAAATGACTGTTGACCAGACACTTCATCATCACCATCACCATCACCATCATCATTATGCTCATGTAGGTCACATTCAGTAATGTCGTTATTGGCAGCTGTCATTGGTGACCCGTTGTCGATCGGGTCTGCTTTGTGTGTGTGATTTGGCACCAACATTTCGGCTTCGCATGACAGCAAGTCATCCCCAGATGTGACTGCGCAAGATTCATCCCCAGCGATCACAGCCTTGCTCTCCCCCTGCCGACCAGTCCGATCTTCTTGCTCACTCAGCGCTTCCCTTTCTTCTTCTTGATCACAGATACCTTGACTGTGGTGACTGACACCCGAGATTGTTGACTGACAAGTTGGCTCTTTCCCGTCGATGTACGCAACAGGGCCTGCTTCTCCGTCGGCCTCCGACAGCGCACTGATGCTGGATGTGGGGCTTGTGCTACTCGGGCTGCTCACAGGCATGTCACTGCTATCTATCAGCACCTGAGATTCTGCAAAGAAACACACACGATTACAAATAGGTGCTACAGTAGGAATAGGTGAAAGAATTAGTTTGTGGATGACTGCAATCAGCTGGATTGTATGCAGACCAACTACCTAACAATAACTCAAACTTCAGCTACAATCTACATCCCCATACCAATTTGTCTTTAACGAGGAGTTAATTTCAAACACTGCATATTAAAATATATGTACCGCTCATAATTTCATAACGGATTTCCATTGATCTCAAGTATAATAGATTTTAAAACTAAAATCCTGGAAATATAAAGCAAGATTTTTACGGCTAAATATTATACTCAACATAGGAGCATCATGAATGTATGTCAAGCAGGACCATGACAATGTGTACATTAAAGCTGACCACTATATCTACCTCCGATGGCTGTGACTGCAGAGCTACCATCAGTAGTTACAGTAAGTTCCATATCTGCCTGTAGATGACACTTCTCTGGTGCACGCTGCAGCACTAGATGCTCGAATAGCACCTCGCAAGGTTTCTGCAGCAGCACTTCCAGCAGTTTTAGTGTCACAATGCTCAACTGCAAAACACAATGGAAGTTGGCTTATATGACAGCATTAAAACATCACACTTCCACTTCTTTTAGGAAACAGGGTGTTGGTGTGATGATCGATGGAATGCTAAATTTATTGACATAAAAAATAAAGGCGAAAAGAAAGAAATGTGTCTGAAAATGCAGTTTATGAATCAAAATTGCAATATTTTATACATTTAATAAGAATGCAGCTTACAGAAAAGAAAATCAATGAATGAGTTTACAAACGCACATATACAATCTACTAATTATGTTCTACGATTTATCAACTACAATAATACCTCATTACGAAAGAAATGTGCTCCACAAAAAACGCTAACCATGCAAAATTTTCGATTGCCTTCCATTATATAATTGGAGCAGCATTCCTACAGAAATTATTTTCATCAAAATAAGCATGCTCTCAATTCTCCCCCACAAGTAAACACAGTCAGATGCATATTGATTGGTTAATGTAGTTTTTACAGTATAGTTTCAATACGTTAGACACACCTCATCGGATGGATGGTTGCTCCTCTGAATAAAGTAATGTTGTAACTTGCTAGTCGTGGGGCATTTGTCCCCAGAGGACGAACCAATAATGAAGGTAGCAATATGCTCCAGGAAAACTTGAGACGAAACGAGTCGGACACAACGTGTCATGATGGATGTAGCGAATGCAGCAGTCACTTCACATCTGCCAGATTTAAATAACAGAAAGAGAAAAACCTATTTAGATTGGACATTCCAATGCTCATCACAAATATCTGTAAAGAAAATGTGAATGAAATTATTATTATTGTTACTATGCAGCTTTCAGGATTACTTCTGGTTAAACTATCATTCCTTCATGCTACGGCTTGATTTGTATGAATCCACATTAAAATAATAATCAGTTTTAGGTTAAGTATGATATGCTTTTATCACCCTCTCCACCTTTATGCTGATATTTCTATCATATCATGTGTATTTGAATATAAAAAGAAATATATATTATTAAATTAAATAATAATTTAATTGGCTTGATCAACACGATTTTTATCGAAACGTCCATCATATTATGTATGAGTTATAACTGCCATTTCAAAAACTTCAACAATATCAACTGTATTTTTAAACAAGATCACTTACACTTGCAAAAGGTCTGGTTGTAGAACATCTTCCAGAAAGGTTTTACAAATTGACCGTGAGAGGGCACTGCTGACTTTTGGATGTGCATCAAGAATAAGCTGGTCGCAGTAGTCGAGCCAGGAGAGAAAGCTCAACAGGTGGCGCTTACCGGCAAATGTGTGCATATCTTCCCTGTCACTATACTGATCCAACCTAGTGAGGAGCGTGAGAAGTGTTTTATAAACCCCAATCAAAATGTAATGGTCAGCAAGTGAAAATTGTAATCATTAGGGCCACAAAATTAATCTAAACCCAAGAATCATGTGTGATAAGCATGTTGCGCTCTCATTAATAAGACCAGGTCAGAAAATGCTGCTAGAATAATTTCTGGTACAGCAATACAAGCTCGATCTGGCCCTGAAATCTGAAAAATCACCATTATCCAGTAAGCAATAGCTTCAGCAAGAGAGGCTTAGAGAGCGAGCATGTCTATTCTCACCCTAGCTTAGCAGAGTTAACTCCTGTGGCCAGTCACTCATATGAACAAATACATCTAGGCTCAGTATTGTTTCTAAGGCTAGTACACCAGTATATTGTACCGGTTTCCCATGAAATCTGGCTGTACTGGATATCCCTCATCTAGTGGCACTGGGCCAGCACTACTAGACCCACCAGAACTTAGCTAGGGGCCATTTTCAGAAAAATCACACGTAGTTATGACATCCCAAGAGTAAAATGTCATTTTGAAAGCAAAGTTTTATGCAAAAAATTATGACATTTTAGACACTTTATAGGTATAACTATGTATGTTTCTTACAATGGTCAGAAACATTTCTGATTGATCCCCCGTTGATTCCCCCAACGATGTAGCGGTGTGCTCCACCTTTAAAAACACCCGATACGATCAAGCACTCACCCCCACTTTGCCTCTGTGCTGTCGATGTCAGCGGGATGCATGCTGCGTGGGATGAGGATGTAGAGCTTGGCCAGTTGAGCAGCTAGTACCTGAGAGAAGCGTGAGTGCTCGGCAATGATGCTTGCCGCCATGTCTTCGGGCAGGCTCGCACACAGCAGAAGGCCCTCACACGCTTTGATCACCACTCGGCTGTCCTGTGAACACCGATGACAACGTCAGGCGATGTCAACGTCAGGCAATGGCAACGCGCCAACAAGAGATGTTTTGCAGAAGAAGGGGTCAAATTATCGCATAATTAATATTATGAAAATGAGATAGAGGAAAAAGTAAGATATAATCAGGAGTGTATCAATTGATACACTCCTGATATAATTAATAGCATGAAAATGCACAAAACACTCATTATAGCAGCATTAAATCTCAAGGACATCCTATGACTGACTGCCTCTAAAATGGATAAACCTCGCAACAAAAAGCCTATATAGACCTACTGTGAGCATACTTGCAGTGTGCAAACATCACGAAATGTTCTCATTGAGCCAGAGAAGTGCTACAAACATTGGGCGTTGGGATTTTCAAAATTACGTCCGACGTTGTTATGTCACACAGCTAGCAGTAGACCTACACTAGCGCAAATTGTTCCTGGAACGAAAACACTATATTTGTTTCCTGATTGCATAAGTAATATAGATAACGATATGATTTAAACAAATTTCACAATTTTGTATTGAATAAACATATAATAATGAATTATAACTTGTTTTATCATAAGAAAAGAGCTTAACGATCGCTCCCCTGTGTCCCGGATGTGTAAACATCACTGTGGCGCTACTTTCGTAAGAAAAGTAATTTCGTTTAGATTTTGAGAAGAAATGTTATGAAAGTAGCAATACAAATGAGTTCTAGTGAATTTTTACAACATCACGAGCTCACAGTAGGTCTATATATGCATTTAACTGCGAGCTTTTGCAACTTTAATAGTAAAATGTTATTATTCATGAATGATATTAGCATGGTCATGCACATCTCCTCTGCTGAAAAGACGTAGAACATGTCATTGCAATTATTGATAAGTGTATGACCATGATGCATATTACATACTGGACTCTGCACCAGGGACAGCAATGACGAGACTAGAGGGAAGCCAAGCTTGCAATTGGGTCCTATGGGGTGGTAAGGTTGAGCTCCTTCCAAACCCTCAAAATCTGTTAGACTGCAGGCGATGCCAGGGCCTGAGCAATGCGGTGATGCTGCGGTAGGAACCTCCACATGCAGATACAGAAAAATCACAGTTAAACTTGGTAATACATGTACTCAATTTCTTTTTATATATTTGAGCACAGACAAATTAATCCTGCCATGCATTTAACAGTTATATAACATACAGAACGATTATTGTAGAGTAATTAGGTGATTGTAAAACTACATAAATTATGACACATGGTGAAGTTTTATGATTATGTCCAACACCCAAGTCATATTAATAAGCAAACCTCAAGGAAGAAATTGACTAGATATGGATTAGCTTTGATTTTAGCACAGATCACTCCGAGGAACTGTATTTCTTCAGCCTCTGTGGGTGCTGCCTGTTCGTTTCCACATAGGCGAATCAGCCTCTGAAAACACAGAAATTACGATAAGTTATAATTCCCATATTACCGCACGTAACACCATATCACCTCATGGTGCACAGAATAGAACCTCTCACCACCATTATATTTACTTGATATGATCACCACAATTCCATAAGCTGTAGAATGTATGTCATCAAATAGCAATATCGGGGTTCTCTCCAGGTCTTTAACAGTTTAACGCATATCGCTGTTGACATGCCTCCAAAGCTGAAGTTAATTTGTGACATTTCATAAATGTTTTGACATGCTTTAATTTCCAGCTGCATTTTATTTTGACAATCCCATAACAATCATGCTCTGTTTTCACAGCTTAATGTAACCGTCTCCAAACTGATCAAGTTTACCTGCCTATTAGGAGTGCTTATGACACGTGTAATTGACTTTAATTATACAACTCCCTCCTGGGCACTCTCCTATCCATCAAAAAATGACATGCCTTCTAAAATTCATGGGAAGAACCCTGAATAATGTAAGTAATGCCAAATAATCAAATGTCATGATACCAGTCTTAGGCATTTATAAAGGCCATGCAATTATCAGTGGCTGTTGTCATATATTTTAACAGTTTTTTGTTAACTTTATTTTGTTATCAAACTCAAATCTGAAGTCATAATATTAGCTAGTGAAATTTATACTTACATGTACAGGCCGATGTACATTAATGTGTGGGAGAATCGGCTGATTAGTTCGAGATAGCAGATGTGTGAAAAACATCAGAACATGCTGTTTCATTCCCAGGGGGCACTGCATAAGAATTATAAACTTAAAAAAAATTATACATTACGTACCAATAAGTGATAGACAACACCATATTTACTTGTCAATACATTTACTCGACTAAACATTTCAATGGTGTAGATCTATATGTCTATACAACTCTTTGTTAATATAAATAAATATTCAGGAAATACATTGTACATTTTTAATAGCAATATATTTTTGCTAATAGCTATATTTTGTCGCAAGCTCACGCAGACGTACATCCGCTCGTCCCAGAGCGTAAAGCGTCTCGAGAATCTTATGTCGCAGCATGTACTCCATGCAGGGGCCGGTGGTGCTCCCTTCTGGCACTGATCCTGACCCGGCTTCCTGCCCCGCCTCCTCGTGATGCAGACTGTCCAGCATTTGGTCGAGATGATGGGGAATGCTGGTTGCCTCAATGGGCTCTCGCTCATCATCTGTGAGACAGACACATGAATGTACAAATTACAGTAAGAGCAAAGAGAGTACAAAAACTGATTTAGTTTTCCTCATCTTGAGAATGTTCTGAGCGAAAATCGTTGCAACAGATACTACCTGCAGGCAGTTGGGAATTAGAAATAGGGTCGAAAATCATGTGGACTACTATGCTTAATTGCCATTATTGCAAAATTATTCGGATAACAGATGAGTTCATAATAATAAAGATCATTACAACATTTAATATGGATACATTTTTTAGTGTGCCTGTACATACTGCTTTCAATGAAGTAGTGTGTGATAGCTTTCCAGTGGTGAACAAACTGCTCCTGTTGTGATGGCGGAGGTGCAAGCTATCACATAAATAATAATGTATAAAATAAATTAGTAAACATACCACTGAATAGGCCAGGTAAATAATCTGACTTTAGCCTGTCAATCAAAACCAAACTCAACTCTACGTAATCTGACCATATGGAGTTGAGAGCAAACAAACCAAAAATGCACATATATATAGCCATGTCTAATTTAAATAGTTATTAATGCTAGTGAGCGGGCACCAGTTATCCTGCCATGCTATGAAGACACATGCTAGGAAGATAGCGGAGGAAGGAGGATGTGAAGTTGAAATTACGGATAGAATAAGGGCAGTATCATCTGTATGGAAAAAATTGAGAGAGATTTCAAGAGTGGTGTGCGACCCAAGGATGCCCAGAAAACTTAAGGTAAAAATCTATGGGACAGTCGTGAGACTCATCAAGTAACGTATGGAGCGGTAACCTGGGCCATACGAAGAAATGAGGTTGCAGAGAACAGATCTATGAGGATGTTGCGTTGGATACTGGGAGTTTCATTGAGAGAAAGAAGAACAAATAAGGAGGTACGACGAATAGCTGGAGTAAGAGACATTAAGGAAGTTGTAATGCAAAATAGGATGAGATGGTATGCGCATGTGGTTAGGAAGAAAGATGAGGAGCAAACGAAGGGAGCATGGCAGGAGCCGGTGAGAGGAAGAAGGACGAGAGGGCGACAGCGAATTAGATGGAGGGATGAAGTGGAGGCGGAGATGAGAAGGCTGGGAGTAACGGAGGCCAATCCGGCCGAATGAGGGAGGTGGAGAACATTCATCAACAGGGAGGTCAGCCCCTATCGGCTAGCTGACGTCTCAACGTGGATCATCACACTAGTGTTTGTTATTATTATATTATGTACGACCAGTTATGTCATAGCACAAGCAGAACTTAGTGATCAGCTTTACTTACCGCATCGACAGCATGTTGTAATGCTGCAGCGAATTTGTTAAACATTTTTTGTTTTTGTTTTAACGACGTTTTACTTTAGTACGTTCGCCGATTCGGTTTGCTGACGAGCGAATCTGTAGCTCACTTACACAGAACAAACATGCGTTCACGTGTCATATTTGAGTTTTCAATACTTATTTTGCACTTATGTCTATGAACATAATTACTAAAACTACGTCTAATTGTTAAAATAGCAAACTTCTGCGTCTTATCATCAAATTTGTGTACATCCTCACTTCTTCAATCAGTGGCGCCGCCTATAAACAAGTATCATTCGGCCAGGAATCAACAAGGAAGATGGTAAATATACACTTGGTCTCTAAACTTTGATTGTTATCCTGCATTTAAGTGGATTTGTTGAAAATTCCAATAAGTATATATAATTATGAATATTGTCACATTTAATATTTCTTAATTTACATCGGTTTTGTTGTTTCTAGGAGCTTAAACTGGTAGTTGTGTTGGCGGCATTGGTTCTGGTCAGCTCTGCTGCAGTGGTGAGTCATATCCCAATTATTGTTACACATCTGAAACTACTCTCTGAAGCTTGTGACTTATAATGTATCTTCTCCCCTGCTTTCCTTCTATCAATCCTCTACCTTCTTTACTGGCTTTACCTCCACCTTCTCCAATTTCTTATCCTTCTAGCTCCATTCATGGAGATAGGGCTTCCAAAGCTGCCCTGATTATGTTTCTGTAACAGAATTCGTTTAGGGTATGGGGTTGCTAGCCTTACGACGGCAATTCATGGGTTTGCTAGGCTCCAACTAATCATAGAGCCACTTGTGGTGACCATACTATCAAGAGCGTATAAAGAAGGCCTTCTTTATACGCTCTTGATACTATGCATAATACAGTAATATAGAGATAACAAAGTAATGCAATCCAATCTATTATTATAACTATATTGTTAAATTTAAATCAATAATTTTTTATATTTTTTATCGTGAAATATATAAATGCTGGGAGCTCAATAAAAAAGTGTTGCTGCTTTGGCTTTAAGTTTAACAATATAGCTATGCCCAGCTTTTTGCAGATATATCATATAGCACTGCTTCAATTACTGTGTGGTTGGGATTTTCTAATAATTATTCTTATTCTAAAAGTTTTCGTGATTTTGTCTTTTTACGTTTTTGCATTTTCAAAAGGGATTAACTGCATTGTTAGGGATGCTTTTTGCCTTATTGAAATTGTTATTAGGCCAAAACAAAATATATGTGTGATTACCGTTACACTGTTACATGCCAAAAAAATAGGGTAGGTAGGTAGGGAAAACATTTTATTTTCTTGAAATATTTTACTTACGAACCATGTCCGAAGGATGTGCGTTGTGCCTTTTGAAGCAGGAACTGTCCAATTCATTTTTTTTTTTTTATAATTTTTTTTTGACCTTAAAGAAAATTGACAATAAAATGTTTAGGGTCGCTGGGAATAAATAGGGTCGGTCGGGAAACCGTAACCACACCTATATTTTGTTTTGGCCTTATTGTAGCGGTTGTAGGGGGATATGTTATTACAGAAATATTTTCGTCATATGGCTTGCTCAGATGATAGAAAATTAATCTTTATATCAGTATCAGAAATCACATGTGGCTTTATTGCTAAAATATCATAAAAAGTAGAGCACTCACAACTTTTGTTAAAGCCGCAATATGCGCATCCAAACGCTAATTTCTCTAGTACTAGACTAGCAAATACTTCGTGTCATGCATAATCACACTACCTAAATGACAAAATAAACTCTAGTTCCTCCCATTTCACTGCGCGTTTGCTTAAAACTCACAAGAAAGAGGTGCAAAATCTGGCAATCTGGCGCCAATGCCGAATTCTTTGCCAAACAATTTAGCCCCGAATCGGTTAGGTGACGTCACATGTTGCTACGGGTTGCACCCGCTGTACAGTCGCTTGGTAGAGCAACGCGAAACTGTCAACAACTTCGGAGAATTTGAACAACATTGGAGGTATTTTCAAATACCTTTTATAAGACAACGCACAGTGAAATAGGAGGAACTAGAGTTTATTTTGTCATAAGGTAGTATGATTATGCATGACACAAAGTATTTGCTAGTCTAGTAGTGGAGAAATTAGCGTTTGGATGCGCATATTGTGGCTTTAAGGTTTGTTTTATTATCTCGTAAGAATTTTTGTATAGAGGGTTTTCCTAAAATTCTCTCAGTGATTCTTTTTTTTTCAAAAAGTGCATATTTAGTAATCCTGACAGTATAATTAATAAAAAATTTATGACACATCCAAAAGTATATATATGTTTAGTCCAGAACAGTTAAGTATGAGGGTTTTTATATACTGTTTAAAATGGGTTATTTGACAATTAAGTTTACAGTATTATGTATATGAACATATTATGCTAATTGACATATTGCTATTCATAGTACTCAAATTGTTTACAGAAAATATTTCAACAACAAGAAGCATTAGCTGAATGTTCTAAAATGTATCTAAACATCACAGCTCACTACATTAGTACCCTCCTTCTTATCACTGGGAATATGCTGGAAGATTTATATATTTTCTAGCACATGTAGTTATATAAATTGGTACATATAATTTATACATCATTCTTATCAGTTGTTATTTGGAATTTGCTTGTTACATGGAATTGAATATTGTAAATATTATAACAATGATCAAAATCATGTGTTTTCATTAAATTTATACTTGTGTGTCCACTTGACCAACCACTAGACACGTCTTTCAATAATTTCGCATTTTAATTTGACTGCAAGTATATGTACATCTGCTTGAGTAAATTACTTCTGCCACTGCTGAAAGCAAATTGGTTCTCCTATTACTTCCTGACTAATCTGTTCATTCAACAAAATCTAATTTCACATGCGTTTAACTGCATGGCCACTTCTGCCCATGCTGCATATAGAAATTAGCATAGTCACCACCTTGATGTCGTCCATGGTAGTTTGCTGTGTGTAGAATTAATTCAGAATTGTAATAGAAATTATGCAACCATGTATTCACTTAATTTCCTCGCGTTACCTACCACTAACTATCTCTTTTAATAATGTAGTGTTTCAAATTGTTTCGAATTCCATTTGCATCTGCTTATGAAAACAAATTGTGCTACTGGTAAAGGCAAATCAAAATGGAGGGAATTGCAGACTCATCTCACGTAAAGCAAGGTATTCTTACAAGAAAAAAACAACATTTGCAGCATCCTAAATATTTCCACGAAGTTCCTCCACTTAATGCTGAGCAACGTAGAAAAAATTAATTGACTGGACAAGATTTTTCTATTATGATTGTTGCAAATACGTTCCAATATTGTTGCGACACACGTAAGGCTAAGAGCAGAATCAGAGCTGCATTGCGCTGGTATTGTCCCCCTTCCCCCACACACACAAAACTGAACCGTTAAATGCCTTTTAAGTGGTTATACATTCTGCTTGAATAAACGATTATAATGGAGACCACGTAATATACGCTTTTGATTCTCCAGTCGTTTGATGCCGCGCGGGCAGGCATATCTAGCTAGTGGGATTTCCTTGTTAGTATTGTGTCAGTCCATGATTACATGTTTCCCTTGGCTCGGCTAGTAATCACAAATCTCGTGATTGTGGTAGAGCTTATAGTTAAGAAATTTGCATTTTGGAGCAGTAATAATGCCAGCCCAAGTATTATCTGCATTTTTGGCGATACACCCGATTGATCGCCCAGTATTTATTTAGTATTCATGCACAATTTTATGTGAAAAACATTTGCAAGATTCGCTGAGATGAGAAGCGTAGGAATTCAATTTCCCCCAAACACAAAACCTTCCTGTTTGCACACACGACGTTTTCGTTCAATATAATATGAATAACCGTCGGATACAATTTTAAATGGATAACTTTCATTGTGCACGATGTTTCTATTTTGTTTTGCTAGTGCATAGAACTTAGAAGAGGCAATAGCCGCGGGCAAGTTGTGGACTGAACTGCATGTTTTGTGCCACCACACGGTTGATAATTTCTTCTTTAGCAAATCCAAAAGCTTGTGAGCGCTGAATGCTCATATAGATGCTCACGCATGCGGGGGCTGTGTGGATTTGTTGTTAGATAGACGTATGATCTTCGTGAATAGCGACCGTGCGGGGTAACTTAAAGTGATTACGTCACTGTTAATAGTAAAAGTAAAAAAAACATTTCAACTTTTCCACAAAATGCAAGTAATTCTATGTACTTTTTATGGTTAAATTGCTGCATTATACTTCCTATTTTACTATTATTATTGTTCGATGTAAACATACACTCGTGACTCATACATATAGCCCATAGCAAGCAATTAATGTCAGGATCATAATATCAAATCATCTAGTTGAGAAACAATCTTATCAGGTGAGAATTCGACGATACATTTTGATTTAGTTCCATTATAGTACTTACTTTTAATGTAAGAAAATGGCAACACAAATTTTTACAAATATACACCATAGAAAATTCGTGACGTAGCCAAATTAATGTCTCCAACCTTAATTAGTAGTTTCAGTTCTGGAAGGAAAGCGATGTAAGGTAGCGCTTGTGGTGCTAATGTACAGCGCACTTGGATGTGCGCGATCGACTTGCAATGATGATGATGTGATGGGAAAAGGTGGTAAGCTACGTGGTAAAAGCCCTACATCGATTGCACCAATTTATGTCGATGATCGGTGGTGTGGAAAGAAAAGGAGGCTGGGATGGAAAGGAAAGGATGCGGTGCAGTATACGATGTGGGAGCACGTTAATGTGGTTCATTTCTGTTAAGCCAGTCTCTCCGTACTGTAGACGCTGCTTCCAACCGATAGAAAACGGTCTACGGTTTACAATCAACAGTACGTGGTTTGCGGTGCAATGACACACCCGGTTTACAATCCCTAGACATATTCCGACAGTGCCCACTCCTTGGTGCGCAATACGCGCTCGTCTAGGTCGGATATAATCTGCGTAGTGTAAAGGTAGGGGGGCACACGAGCGATTTTTATCGCCCGATCGCCGCGAATTTTAAAATCGCTCGAAAAATTCGCCCGTGTGCCCGTTCACGTCGACGCCGATTTTAATCGCCCGCACGAATCGCCCGTATCCAAAATGTTAGATATTTTCGGGCGATTATTTACGCCGGCGATTATTTACGCTGGCGATTATTTACGCTGGCAAATTCGCTCGTGTGCCCGTGTCCGGCGTATTTTGTCGCCCGATCGATTTTTCTAAACCAATCGGACGTGTTGTTGATATCATGTGATGTTAAAATCGGGCGATTAAATTCGCTACGTGTGCCCCTTCGTGATCGGGCGATTAAATTCGCTGGCGATTTTAATCGCCGCGATCGGGCGATAAAATACGCTCGTGTGCCCCTAGCATAATGACTTCGAATGAAATGCCATTGGCAATTTCTGTCTTTATGTATTCACAGAAATTCATATGAATGATGTGGTGGTGCTTAGAACTGTGGGGTTGTAAGAATTTTCGGACCAACTTAAGACGTCATTTTTGCGAAAACATTTGGACAAGCA